TACAAGCATAGACTAGCCTGGAAGCCGAAGTGTGGAGACCTTCTGATACATCTGTAGTGGGCAACAGGCTGGTACTGACATTAAGAACAGATCAGAGACTGGTGATTCAACAGGTGAGACACATACAGTGACAGGGCCAGCAGAGCACAGACAGGAGGTTAAACATATGCTTGAAGATGCTTTTTAACTCTAACTTTTTTTAGGCAGAGGACAGGATGTCCTAATTACTGAGGCTTCACAGAGACACTCTGAAGTGCATTAATAAGCTTGGAACAGACAGTACTCTGCAAACACACATTACGGTGTCCAGCTCACCACCACGGCTGCTCGCCAGCTTAATAACCGGAAATGTGAGCAGTCTAATAAATGCCAAAAATGCGGCAAGAGCTACTTTCTCCTAATGCGGCCAGAAAATGTCATCATCACTGAGACCCAATTAGAAATTGCCTGCCAAACCAGTTTATTGGTTTCGGCCAGGACACTGGACAAATGGCCAGAGGTTTTTTTTCGATTTGGCGTTTTAATAATGTTAATTGCTCTTCGTGGAAGTCATTCCCTGCAATATAAATATACGAAGTAGCTTAGTCATCTCTGAAAACAAAGTCAGGACTTTTCAAAGAGGAAACAAAATGACCACAGCAGTTTAGGAGCCAGTACAAGCCAGAGCTGACGTGTCTCAGACACCTGTTTTTGGTTTGTATACGGACAGCTTGCCTGGGGGGATTGAGGGCCTTGAATCTTAGAGGTTCATTTTTTCAAATTGATATCTAAAGAATTTTATTTTCCTCATCTGTTGCTCTCTGGCTTCCCTCTTCTCTCGATTTAGTGCAACTTGCACTATGTAAAAATTTAATCAACTCATGCACCAGGGGTCCCGTAATGGACAAGAAAAGCCTAAGCCATGGATTTGCTTCCCTTGGACATAAGCATAAGATTCCCTCATTGTGAGATCCCTCTTGTAGACACCATATCTATTAGGAAATTGTTGGTCAGGATCCGGAACTACAGTCATGTTGCTGCTGTGATTCCGTCATCTTAAACCTAAGCTGCCATGCAGACCCCTATGCGCAAAAACATGCAAAATCGCATCTGAGCCACTGCGAGATGAACAGCTCTGTGTTTTTCTTTGACGAAACAGACCAGAGATGCACCCTCAGCAACCCTTACTTCTATCACTATAGTTAAACCAATTTGCAAATTTGAGTTAATGATAACAAACAAGTTTTAACCACTTACAAGTAATCAGTTACTTAAAAAATTGAGGCAATCTGTTTCCTCGCTTTTTCTAAGTAAAGTCAACTTATTAGATTTTATAGTGTATCGGAGATAAATTAGCTAAAAAAAACAAACAAACAAACAAAACAGTTTTCGCTTCCCTTATATACATAGGGCAGGACTGAAGCCACAGGCCTATAGTGCCCCCACGGTGATGTCTCCCCCCCAGGGCAGTCAGCCATCACATAGACAGGCATTTCCCCACACCCCCCCGGCGTGGCTGCATACCGCTGCCAGAGCTGATGCCCATGATGGAATCTTGGTGAAACTAAGCACTGTTTCATTGGAACTGTTACGGGTGGGGCTAGAGTTCAGATTGAATCAAGCACTGAAATACTTTTAGTTTAAGAGGAATTGATTAAGGGGGGGGGGGGGGGGTGACAAAAAAACAAAAAAAACAATAGGAGTGTCATCAGCTGTTACTTGCTCGTTAGGATCCGATATGCTCCAATCTGCCGTACGGGGCCGCAGAACATGACACACGCTATAATTAACTGGAAAAGTCAGCACGCCAAACAGCCTTCTTTCGTCCTTGGCTCACATTTCTACCAGGCCTCCTGGCGCCTCACTGCGCAGAATGAAAAAGAAATAACTGCAGTCAATAAAACGTGTTAAACGGCATCGTGTGACAATCCCCAGTGATCATCGTCAGACTTCTTAAATAAGGTTAGATAAACTTTACAGTTAGTTTTCGTTCCTCATGAAAATTAAAAAATCCAAATGTCGGACAAATGTCGTTATTTTTCTATTCTGCGTCTTAAACCGCTATTTCTATTTTTTGTCAAAGGCAAGCCATATATGGTGCCGTACTAAGGCGAAATACCGTAACTGCATATTTTATCAAAGTTGGTATTACATAGGTCTCTTAAGCTCTGCTTTATCTTGTGAGAAATTATCTTAGTTACTTCATGAAGACACATTTAGTAAGCACACTATAATTTACCTCTCTCGTATACATACAGATGGACAATCAAAAAAATAGCAAAGCCATTTTTCAGTTTCAGTGTCACTGTAGTTACAGTGTTTTGCCATTGGGGGCAGTATGGAGAGCATCAGCTATTTAAATGCCGACCCGCCCCTTTGAGCGATAAATGGCGATTCATTTTATATGTGGGACAGAACGAGGCAACTATAAAACCCAAAAATACCGGCCACAGCTCTGGGTCTGAGCCGCGCCTCCTCGCGGCAGCTCAGCTAACCCGAAAACGTCAGACTCGCCGCTACGCACACGGCTCCGGTCCAGCGGGGCCCTACCCCGCCTCTGCGATGTGGAAGAGTCTGGAATGTTTAAAATAAGCAGATGGCCTGAGGGTCTCTCAAGGGCAGCACAAGGCTGGGGCAAGTCAGAAAAGAGAGCACATCTGCTGTGAACGAGGGGCCCAGGTGCTGCTGGTGCTTGGAGGGGGGCGATCGGGGGGGGCGAGGCGCCTCAGACGTGAGCGCCGGCGACATGGCGGCCCGTTGATTGCATTAGGCCTTTATGTGCGGACGGGGCATTGACGTCAGCCTTTGGGGGCTCTTTGCGTTCTGGCCGACAAGGCGGCCTGTGAGTCAGCCTGACAGCAGTGCAGGTGAAGGGATCGTCAGACACTCCCTCTCTCTCTTTCTCTCTCTCTCTCTCTCTCTCTCTGTCTCGCTTTCAACAGCGTCCCTGGTTTGATATCCATGCCTCTATTATCTCACGATTTTACAACCCAACAGGTGGCAAGCACTGACGTCCAGCTCGCTGCGGGTGCTGCCATCGACGGGGGACATTACATAGTGACAAAATAAACACAGCAACAGAAGAACAAATAAATCCTATCGATTTAAACATTTCCTGCTTTGCCCGCTACTAGCCATTTACTAGATTGCTGGAACGGTCATAGTTGGTTAGCATCCAAATGCAAAATGTTCTCCCATAACTGAATCCATCGGCTTGGGGGCCAGGCCACCCCACCCCGCACTGGCCATCACACTGCACCCTCACTGACTCCAGTTCCAGTGCCTTCTTCACTGTCGCCGGCTCAAGCCCTGTAACTATATGTCAGGAGAGCCAGTCAGCTTTGGTCGGGCTTTGTGCCAGAGACGGTGTGGGTAGGGGCACGACGGTGTGGGTAGGTGGCGGCCCTCAGGAAGCTCAGGAAACAGCTGTGTTTGTGCAGTGCTTTGTGTGTGGCGGGGGGGGCGTGGTGCTTAGGGGCAGACCTGTGACCTGGCAGCTGGGAAGAGCCAGATCTGTCAAGCAGGCAGGAATTCATGTGCATCTCATTCTCCTATTCTATACATGATTGTGATTAATGCTGCTAAAGACCAGCTAATTCTTCTTTCTTTGTTTATATTTCCTACCCATAATTCCAGGGTTGGGTGACGCCCGCAGGGATTTAAACCCAGTTAAAGTTTTGAATAAAACAGCTGCATTCAAGCAATCAGGTGAAGCTGTAGGACAGCTGCCTATAATCCAGATGTCTGACAGACAAAATGTATTAAACGCCTGCAGAAGTCAATTGGGAGGTGAGTATTTTTAATGGAAATCCAAGGAAGTAGAATTAAACTAAGTTCAAAGGTTCTCCTTCCTGCTCCTTTGTTAAGCAGGGTGGTTAATGGAGAGATTGCCTTAATCACGGATAGCCTATTTTCAGCCATCATAATGCTTCATATACTTTCATCTACTGATCCTCTGCGGGCGACCACAAATAATGAAACTACCAGCGGCTTAACGAGCGACTACAACTGAAGGCTAGCAACTCTGCACCAGTAATTCAGTAATTGAAGGGAAGAGAAGGGGAGCCACGTTTACAGAAAAGAGGAGAAAGGAGACATTGTTAACTACTCATTTCAACATCCCTTAAGAGGATGTTAATAATTCAGCGCTACAGGAGGGTATCTTTTGTGTCGAGAGTCTTCAGTCAGATCAGGTAATGAATTATACATCAAATAATTCCGAGTATGGGAAATTAGATCCACGCCTGATAGGGTGCAATTTTACAGTTATAGATTGTCGGTGCCGTGTCCATTTTCTAACGATCTCTGATGGAGGGATGAGGAAGCAGGATTTCAGCACCGCGGACAGCAACAATATCAACCGGGCAGCGGGGCGCAGAGCGACCGACAGACGACATCCAGGACTACCTCCTGTGCCATTATTGGTAAAACAGCATGGAATATAGTCAGAGAAAAATAAAAGCATACAGCCCAAAGCCACTGCTGTCAACGAAATGATTTCAAATCATTTTACAGACGTACTTATGCAATCGACGCCGTGGCTGAATACTTTAATGTCCTTTAAACATCTTTAATGAGTTTAACTGTTCATATTTTAGCAATTAAGAGCACATATAGAACATATACATATATGTGAAGCGCATGATAATGATAATCCTTCGCCGTTAAATACAAGCTTCGGTTTGTAAGTGTCCCAGAATCTACACGCCCCGTAGTTCTCCTGAGAGTTTGTTCGTGCAGGTAAGTTTAAATAACCCAGAGCATCCGTAGGGCTCCTTCGAATCAGGGGAAAACGACAGTGCATTTCAGATCTCAATTCACCATATCAATCTAAATGGGCTTAGGTGTAGACGTTTAAAATGCCAGTTAGCAGTTCTGGATACTGCAGGGTGGAGAAGTAAATGCACCATCGCACACTGAAACGGGGAGTCGCATGCACATACACGGTACGGCACCGGGACTCACACAAGCAGCAGTAAATACCTCGATCGGTGCGCTGGATCCTGTCTCCCACCGTTAGAGAACTACCGCATCTCACAGCAGCACCGCCCGATGGGGTGGCGCAGGCGAGACCGTGAGCGAAACGCAGGTGATGCTCAGAGACGATGCATTTCCGTCTCTGTGTTAGACGGCAAACGGCGACCCAGCCGGGGAGGCATCTCTATGCGCCATTTTCACGAGCAAACGCTAGATCTCTACGAAAGAAAAAGATGGGGATGAACTTTCAGGAAAGGGGTTGAAGCAGAACGGAACTCTTACGGAAATCCATTCCCGGCGTTGCGTATTAAGGCGTAAAGCATGACCGTACACAAAACCAGGACGAGGGGTGATGTAAAGGTCCTGAATTATTCATAGCCTTTCCCACGTGACCCGCGTACGATTTATTATTTAACAACATACTTCCCCCTCCCCACTCAACATCTGCCTACGTCAATGTCGCCCTGATGTCACTTACCTGGGATATTATGCACATCTTACTCCTGTGCGACTGTGCCGTCGCTCGCCGGGAACATACACACAGACAGCCACTGCGGACTTCACTGCCTGCAGCACACGTCCTACTAGAGGACGACTTCGTAAAACACAATGCATATGTTAAAATACCACAAGGAAGGCGCGATGCGTGACAAAAAAATATGTGCAATCAATTGTAACGATTGACAGACCGGCTCGTTTGAGTTACGATTTTTCAAACCGCTTCGCCCGTGAACCGAGTTAACCTCGGATGTAAATGCGTCGTTAACCTTGGGGGTGTGGTGTTGTGGGGCGCGGATGGGCAGAGGAGCCGAGCAGCCTTACGGCTCCCTTTCACGCTGGATCGGCCGTCTAATAAGCCGTGGGAATCAAATAAAAGAACTGGCGAACAAAAATAAATATGCTGCGCGGCTGCAAAGCCGCGTCCGCGTGCCGCACGGGACAGTTTGGGGGTAATATTAAACTAACTGTGACCAACTTCGTAATGACTGAAACCGTAAAACCTTAATACTGCAGAGAGGAATAAATGAATAATCCATGTAAATGGACCACACACATCTTACATCCACCCAGACAATGATAGGGCCACCCCAAATTAATTATTCATCCCTTTCCTGCACCTTAGTTAATTATTAAGCAGCAGATTCATGAGGCTCTTGGTGACAGCCAGGAGCAGGCCAGCTTAAGGGTAAATGTGTTTGGTGTCTGAGTGTTTAAGATGACATGTGCTTGTGCAGAGTGTGTAACTAAACTCTCACCTATTGTGTGTGAGTCACTGTCTACTGCTGAACCTTATGCTGCTTTCCAGTTAAAATTCAAAGTTGGAGGAACTGAGTTTGCCAGCTGGAGATTTTAACTGGCACACCCCCTGAAGTCAGAATTCCTACTCGGAAAGTCAGGGCAACCTAGACTCAGAATTCTAACTGGCTGAAAGCTATGTCTTCTTTGTGTCATTAAATCGGTCGTATACACTGTACTGTTCGCCCGCCATATTGTGTTGTTATTGACTGATATTGCTGACAATGACTAACAATGAACTGGCCAGAACTGGTATTGCTAAATGGCAGCTTGTGCTGGAACGCGATTAACTCAGGTGTGACGTCATTCCCAGCTCTGACTTCCGACCTCTGAGGTAAATGTTATGCAGCATTATTGCTGACCTCCCCCCCCCTCCCCAAATAATCCAGCATGCAGAGCCCCCCACCCGGGGGGGGGGGGGGGTTATCACCTTCCTGAAAAAAAGGAAGTTGGAGTTTCTTCTTCTCATGACAACCGGCATGTACAGGCCTGAATTATTCAAGCAGAGCGTCTCTGAGTGTGAGATGGGCGGACGGCCTTCAGAGGACTGTTGGACGCCACCCTCCCCAGCGCCCGTCTTTCCATGGCGATTAAAAAACCTGAAAAGGTGCTAATTAGAAGAGCTCAGCTGGTGCTGAGGGTGCGGGGGCCTCTTTGAGGTGGGGGCTCTCTTTCGAGGTGTGGGGGGGGGGGGTGGCTTCGCGAGAAAGTCACTCATTAGCCTCTGTCTGGGCCGTACCACCTACAGCGGAGAAACCAGCCTGCTGCTCAGACAGCATGACAGAAGCAGCCACATCCAGGTGGGGGGGATGTGAGATGGGGGATGTGAGATGGCCGGTGGGGGATGTGAGATGGGGGGGTCTGCTATTTGGGCATCTGAAGTCCAGGAATCAGGGGGGAGATTGGAGTGGCTAATTAACCGTGACTCACTCGTATCCTAATTAGGGGGTCTGAAGAAGTATGTACTATGGAACCAGAGAGGTAATAGAATCAATTCTGTGATGTAGTGTATGTGGCGAGACATCCAGTGCTTTGTTAAAGGGGGGGGGGGGGGCATTTCAGCCCTGGTCTCCAGAACAGCATCTCATGAACAATCTCCTCCAAACACAAACATTATGCTCCCAGCCACTCATCACACAGGATTTCAGAGGGATGGCGGTGCATCGAAAATGCCATGAACAACAATTATATCCCTTTTCAATGAGCATATGTCTTTGGCTTTCACATTACAGCCCTTTTATGCTGTAATGGAAATTATTCATGAGGATAGAATTACATACTAGTGTAACTTAACCAGCTTGTATTGCCTGTTTGTTAAACAGACAATGACTCCACTGGCAGCTGTCATTGAGGCTCTGGCTGGGGAAAAGTCTGTAATCTCTGTCCTATGTCGACTCCCGCAGAGAGCACTGTAGCACGTTTGTCAGCCCGGCCGACGGACTGCGAGTCCACGGGATGGCCCCTTTGTATACCACGGTTCTGATCCTGGGGTCCAGCTAATAAAAGCGGTCAGCGTCTGCAAGATGGAGAGTTCCTACCAGGGTTGACGGGTGGTCACCTGTCCCATTCCTCAACATCTGATGCTTGCCCAGTTGCTCAGGGAAATAAATACAGGAAGTATAACAATCAGCTGCGTGAGGGACATGAGCGAGCAGGTGGTCCTTCTGAGATGGGTGATCTTATTTAATAGATTACTTAGCGCCAACAAACAGTGGGATCTCCAGATAGATTACATTCTTTGTGGCGGACAGACGGTATCCTGTGCCTGAGAAGATGAATAATAAAGGGCAGGACAGCTCCATACTTAGCTTCATGCATGACATGCTTTGTGTGACAAAATGTTCCCACAGATTACCAAAATGTGCCACGAGTCAGGCGCTCCATAACCACCCCCCCCCCGCCCCCAAAAGGACCAGTACGTCAGCAAATGCAATCACCAAGGCGACCACCGCAGCAAACGACTGGGCGATCAGATGTGCAGCAATGAGCTGCTGCAGTCCCATGCATTTTAATCCAGATATGCATCGCTTCTGCTGTATGATTAATGGTGCCTAACTTTCTCAAGGGTACAACAAAATCACACCCCCTGGTTGTTACTTCTGAATCAGAAGGTTTTCGATCGGCAGGGGGCAGTCCCTTGTCGGCGATGCGCCCCCACAGCCTTCAGACAAACTCTCGAGAGGTGGGGTCACAAATTGGAAGAATATCCTGCAGCGGTTCAAAATGAGCCTTGCATACTGCTTCCATAGCTGTGCAGCTGGAAAGCGGCACGCCTCAACCCTGAGGGGTCAGTGGTGGCGAGCGAAATGCTAACAGCCGACAAGAGCTGCACAGTCAGGTGGATACGCGGTTATTAGCGACAGCCTGGGAATTAGTGATCATTAGCAATGGGCTGGGAATTAGCGATCATTAACAATGGGCTGGGAATTAGCGACGGGCTAGGAATTAGCGATCATTAGCAACGGCCTGGAAAGGGGAACCGCTAAGGCATCTCGCACCAGTTCCGCTTGGATGCTGGGAACTCACATCAGGCTGCTGTGGCTGCCTTTGCCTTTGCTGTGGGAACTCCTGGGCTCCTAAGCCTGCAATCACGCTCACGAGGGGACTAGCAGGACGACAGCGAGCAGTAGCTATTACACTGCTGTGCCGCGCTCTACCCATTCATCGGCAGACAATGGCGTGAAATGAGCTTAGCTCCCCGGCGTCGCCTAATTTCACACTGAGGCTGAACGGCCCAGATTATCCTCAGGAGCTACTCTAACCGCGAGGCCCAGCCAAAGGGATCCCCCGCCCCCTGCCCCCAGACCCCCCACTGTAATTTGAGAAGCAATGCTAGCATTACATGCTGGGTTGATCAATGCCGTTCTTGGTTGAAGGGCCAAAGCACATTCTCAGAGGGCTGCGTCTGGTTTTCTACAGCTTGAACATGTGGCAAACAAACTTTCTTTCGGTTACCGGTGATGGAGTCACGGTGTGAGCGGAGAGAGGCTGCTTTTAGCACCCAGCAGAGGATAACTGTACCAAGGGACACTTTCTTTGAGGCAAAGGAAAATAAATGAGTTTTAAAAAGTCGTTCAAGAACAGAGAAGCTGAGAGGGCCAATGTGGAATCTGCCCCAAACCTTCTATGAGCCTGTCTGCAACGGTCGGGGCACGAAGCAAAGGGGGGGGGGGGGGTTGGGGGAACAAATTGCTCTAGGGAGAGTCAGACCCCGGTTTCTCTCAGAAATGTAAATGTAAGGGCAAAGGAAGAAGACAAAGAGGAAGACAAGGAGGAAGACCAGACCACTGGGCGCTCAGGTAAACACTGTTAACAAATACAGAACCAGTCAAAAGTCTGGACACATCTGCTTGCAACGCATTTGTCTCTGTTTTAGCCACATTTTTCACCATTAAAGTAAAAGTCAATGAAGTAATACATATGAAATACTGCAAACAGTGGTGTGGGGAGGAGTGTGAAATTTGGGGGACCCCAATTTGCCCCTGTGGGGGGGGGGAGGGTGTGTGAAATCGCAATGGGCACACATGCAATAGACAGATCATGAAAGGATGCGATGTACGAAAGATTCTTAAATCATTTTTGAATAATAAAGATAACATCGTCTAAAATAAGACTGTTTAGGGTGCTGTTTCACAAATCTTAACTAAACAATAACTGATCCATCTATCTGATACAGGGCTACAACCTTTGTTAGGTATATGTTAGTCTGATACAGGACTACAGTCTACGTTAGGTATATGTTTGTCTGATACAGGACTAGTCTACGTTAGGTATATATTAGTCTGATACAGGACTAGTCTACATTAGGTATATATTAGTCTGATACAGGACTACCGTCTACGTTAGGTATATGTTAGTCTGATACAGGACTAGTCTACATTAGGTATATATTAGTCTGATACAGGACTACAGTCTACATTAGGTATATGTTAGTCTGATACAGGACTACAGTCTACATTAGGTATATGTTAGTCTGATACAGGACTACAGTCTACATTAGGTATATCTTTGTCTGATACAGGACTACAGTCTACAGTAGGTATATATTAGTCTGATACAGGACTACCGTCTACATTAGGTATATCTTTGTCTGATACAGGGCTACAGTTTTCGTTAGGTATATATTTGTCTGATAGAGGACAGTCTTCATGGTCCATATTAACTAAAGCATCTCCACATCTCACTTCTGTTTTTCATGCATGGGTCTACATCTGAGCCATAATTCCCTTCGGATTTTTGAAGTTGTAAAATTTATAGGTGTCTCCTGCACCTTCAATAACCACGCAAACCTCTACAGGAATGTGACGCGGTGATCAGACAGGGGGCTGAATATTCACAGCTCCGCAGCTCGGGTATTTAATAATTGAACAGCCATTACACTTTCATACCAGAGCAATACATGACTAATTGGATACAGACTCATATTTAAACTGTTATTTTAAAGAGATTTATGGTGTTGTTACGGAGATAAATGAACCACTAGCTGTGCGGGTGGGGCTATTAGGAAAACGTGCTGGAATTTTCTCAGCCCTGCCATCCACACAAGCTAAAATGGTTCAATAAAGATACCCCCCCAACACTTGGGCTCTTTGGGGGGGGGGGGGGGGGGGACTACTACACACCTCAGAGCCAGGATGAGTGAATGCCAGCAGGGTGCTATTTGATCCAGAAATCTGCCCTAGTCTGTAGACCGCC